GACTATACATCATATTAGTTTTTGGTAAATATGTATGCTTCTTAATAAAATTAACATAATTAATTAATACTGATATCTCAAGTATTGATCATCACATTTGAATAAAACTTGGTACATAAATGCTCTAGGACAATAGGCAGCCTGATTAATTTTGGGTTAAAATCTGTTCATATTAACTCTCTAATTAGCATAATAATTAATATTTTTTGGGTTCTAATCACATTTCAATGAAACTTCGTACATTGTGCAGACCTTATTAGTTTTACACTTAAATCTGTTCATATCAGTTACCTGATTTACATAATTAGTTTTCAGCTATTCCGTCAATATCTCAAGTACAAGTAATTTTGAATTAATTTTTAATGTCATCAATACACTCAGCACACGGGAGTTCTTTCTAAGCTTTCTTTGATTAGGTGTTTTTCTTTAAAGCGGGAGGATCGTCACCCGTTCACACGCAGGATTTGAGTCCCAAGCATCGATAACAACACACGCTAAAAACGCAAAGGCTCATGGATAGACACTTGTTTGTAAACAATGACACATTATGACCATCTGACGCATGCGTAGGTGACTACTCTCTCGCTTTAAATCGCGGTGGTCATTGCGCAGCGCGTGTTCGAATTTTATGTAAATAAACAATGTATTTTACACGCGTTGTATACATCGCTATGAGTCCCATATCGAACAGGGCGCGGCGTGACGACTCCCCCGCTTTAATATTTTATTTTTAGTAAGTTGGACATTATTTCTTACATGATTTATTTGATCAACATCTTTTTAGAAATTGATTCAGGTTTATTTTGTGAAAGGTGACAAAGAGCTGAATGACTTCTAGACTTCCAGAAAAAAAGAAAGCCTTGTTGTTGATGATGGCACTGTTAAGGGTTAGCTTATAAGCTTATGGGGGGGGGGGCAGCTTAGCTCTATATTACTTGTATCTATGCACAATATCTGTATTACACAGTATAAGTAACGGTATACTCTATTTGTGCGAAGAAGCCGTATTATTCCTATTTGCTCAAGGCAGCTCTAATGCAGCCTTGTTGCCATAGCATCCGGAGTAAGTTAAAATGTGTGTTAATGCGTCATTATTGTAAGAATTTCATATCAATTTCAAAGAAAGTCACCTTTTTTTCCATTAATCTTTAGGGTCGAGTTCCAGTAAAATGGATGTCCCCTGAAGCGCTCTTTGACAGGCTGTATACTACGCAAAGTGATGTCTGGTCGTTTGGCATCGTTTTATGGGAAATAATGACGTTGGGTGGATCACCTTACCCAAGCCTTCCTGTAGAGATGCTATTTGAGTTCCTGAAGGCAGGGAAGCGAATGGAATCACCGCAAGGTTGCTCAGCGGAAATGTAAGTTATCATTAAATATATATCCATTGGTAGTGCTAGTAGATGGTTAAGTATTTAATGCAGTTAATGCAACATGAATTCACTTGTATGGTATTGTAAAAGGGTTAATTATTCACCAGGCTTTAATTTTGCTTATTTCGCTGACTGGGAAATGCGCTAAATTAAAACCCAGCGAATATGTCAAATTTAGCATAGAACACATTATCTAAATGATAAAACTGTGAATTTAAAACCCACTGAATATGCCTGAAATGGTAAATCAGCGAAATTTAAACCCAGTGAAAATTAGTCATTTTACAGTAGTTATACAGTTATTTCATAATACTTCAGTTTAATTGAATTTAAAGTGAGCTGATCGTGAAATTTGCCCATCCTGGGTCAAAGGTCAAGCAACACTTTTTAATGTAAATTACTTTAATTTTACAAATGACACATTTTCATGAATTTTATAATTAAATTATATTTTTTTGTGAAAAAATGTAATTGTCGTTTAAGTTTATAAACTGCTTAGCATGACTAAAATTAATGATTGTAATACTGGAAATCAACAAAAATCAAATTCTCTAGAAAATGTTATGTAACCATTAGGGATTATGCGCAATTTAATTATTTTCAACTTTTATAACTGAAGGACACATATTTAAAAATATATACTATAACTTCTCACTTTTATCGGTGCACATTTTTAGATATTCCCTCATGAGAGATTGTTGGAGAACGTCGCCGACTCAGAGGCCAACTTTCACGCAACTAGTAGCTACACTGGATGGCATGTTAACAGAATCAAGTACCCAGGTAAATAAATAATTTGTCTTATGTCCTCAGTCTGTTTATTCAGCCATTTTTTAAATTTGTGTAGTAACTGAGACCCTGTGTTATACTGACTGACTGACTGACTGTCTGTTACTGTAAAATACTTTAGTTTCATTAGCTGGGATAAATTTTTGGTGAAAATACATTTTGGCTGTTGTGTATGACATTTATTTTGACTGAGTTGTAATGAGGTGAATGTAAAAGATAAAAAAATATTTTTCACTGGATTTTATTTTCACTGAATATAGCAAAAATGAATTCCAATTGAAAATAAAGTATATTTTACAGTAGTCCGTCAAAGCCAGAAAACATGAATGACTCCCGAAATGATGGTTATGATGGTCACAATCAGATTGTCGAGAATGGGCAGTCTTGGAAATTCATTCTGTAGCATTGGTTGTCACACTGCTTTCTGTTCGATATGGCACTCATAGCAACGTGTACAACATGTGTAAAATGCAATGTATGTTTACATTCAATCGACCACCACCCATTAATCATGTACATAGTTGAAATATGAAGATAAGTGAAAAAATGCTCTGTCAATTGAGATCAATCCTGTAAGAATACTTGCATCATTTGATTTGTTAGGCTTATTCTGACCAGTAACTTCCATAAAGAGCAGCTTTAAAATGTTTCTTCTTTTTTCTTTGTAGGATTATCTATCATTGGATGCAATAGGAGACGGTCCGGACCTCTTAGCTGACCTATCTAATAGCAACTCAAAACTGAATGGCACAGCCACTAACAGTCGGTTGGAATCAACGGTCTAGTACATGGATACAAAAACTTTGTTTGTAAAATAGGACCCAGACAAAACTATATTTTGAGGTTCATTGAAAAAGTGGCAGGAGGTGATTGATGGCCAAGTTCTATGACAATAATAGAATGTACATGCAGTGAGCGGATACCTGATTCTATGACATGTATTTAGCATTCAATGGACTGTTATTGTAATGCTTATCTAGGTATCTCTGACTCTTTGTGGTCTCAACTCCACCTACAGTATTTGATACTGTATTTTCAGGAGCAGCTGCAACTTTAGGATTGTTTCATGCACCAATCATATTGAAATGGAAATGTATACCCATCATGCACCTCTCAATGACAGTAGCGGTATAAACTCTGTGGATAATCGCTGACTGAGATGAAATGATGACTACTTGCATCACTATTGCCATAGCAACAGGAGTAAAGAGACCACATGGTGCTTCAAATGTCTGGACAAAATATGTAAAGAAAATATGCTCTGAATAGCAAAGAGCAGTGACTATATAAAAAGAGGCGAGGTATTGTATGTACCATTAACACATGTAATATAAACGCACTTTGGCAGTATGCTAAGTTCTATATTTTTATGATAATAAAAACTGCCAAAAATAACAAAACGCCCTCTATAAAGTGGAAGGGCTTTATTTGCACATTTTTAAGTGCTTTGTATATGGATATTATTTTTGCCAAATACAACTCAGTACTGGTCATGATCTTTAAGTTTACTAGGACTAGTTCTCCCTTTACATATGTGTACTCAATTGGCTATTAGTCTATGGAAAACTATAAAAAAAATATAGTTAACTACATGTAGTACAACATTTTTTTTTTTTGATAAATAGAGCTGATCACGTTGAATCAGGAATAGAAGCCCAATCTTAATATTTACTCTATTTGAAGCCCATCTCCAATTGAGGTGAATGTTAAAACAAAAATGTATTTTTGGGTAGAATTTTAAGCATTGCAATCAATTATTTCCCCAAATTGATGTATGCACGCTGTTTTTTTATTCTTTTTTTTATTTTTAACTTGTCATAAAAATTGTGCTTTTATTATGATTTTACCTAAAAATTGAATTTTTATTTAATTTTTTCTGACATAAAAAAAAAAAAAAACGAAGTACGAGGTACCGGTAACCAGAAACATATAAGTATGCTGTGACACATTTATTAAATGGTCCTGTTTGATGTGTAAAATACATTTTTTGTTTACATGAATTCATATGTGCTTCAAATAGAGCAATGTTGTATATATAATACTGATATCTCACAGCTGATATATTTAAAATTTGAAGGTTGAAGGTCATGTCAAAGTTCACAAACTAGGATTATCTATCTTTGTGGCTGTCGCCTCAAACCTGCACCTGACCAAAACGACTGAAAATCACATTCCAGTAGGCACCCTGTGATGGATTTAATTGCCTGGTAGTGTGTACCTCTCAAAAAATTGGTCTATAACACATTTCTGATCTTTTGAGACCTGAACATGATTTGTACAGTTAATTTAGCCTGATGTGCAGTGGTTTTTGTAACTAAAAACCGAATGCATTTTCCACCCATATCAGGTTGGGTTGTGACCTGTATGTCATGTTGAAGGTCATTGCAGTTCATAAATGTGTTCAATGAATTTTCGGCCCTGTTTGGTCAGTTACAGAAATTGACATGTGTCAATGATGGTAATGTCAAAGGTCAAATTACCATTGTACATCCCAGTACCATGTGTCAATGGAGATCTTCTGTATTGTGAAAATTGACATGACGCATACAATTGTCCTGGTTATTTTATCAGCTGTGAGATTGAAATTGAGTGAGATTCTGCCAGTCTTTAGTTTACCTTGACTTTCCCATTGACACACAATGTAATCTTTCACTAGTCCAAACAAGTCACTTTCAGTCAGTCTGCCAGGTAGTATATATAATATATATAGAATTCAAAATTTTACCAGAATTTAATTGACATATTTAGACATGACAGTCTGTCTGTGCTAAAACTCTGACTTCCCTTTGTATGTAGATATTATGGTATGAACCTTGTATACTGGGCTCTTGTGGTATTAAACTGAATGCTTCAAAACTAATAGAACTGTAAATAGGTACTAAATAGCAGTATTGTATGCCATACACAGATTCCATTTTATCTTCAAAGAAAGAAAGAATCACTATTTGCATATAAGTTTCTTTTGACATGAATATGTACATTGCAAAAAAAAAAAAATGCTAATGAAAGAGAGTAATCTATATAGAAAAATGAGAAACTACTTTTATTTTTGTTAAAATCTGTTTAATCTTTACTATTGTATCTAATATGGAAAGTTTTATGCCAAGTTTTTTTTTTTTAAATTGTGTATATTATGCTGATTGTTATTTTTTAAAACTGTTATCATTTCATGGTTGGGCTTGAGTGTGATATCCTTTCAAAATTAGTTACCACTTTTTTTCAAACTCTTTTTCCACTTTGTGTTAATAGGCCTTAGATGCAAATAGTCACTGAGATCTCTGATCTATGTAAATCAGACGTGATGACAGCAGAGAATAAAACATTCTGCATTCAGTGGAATTTCTGCGGCTATTGGCATCTAAAAGTCTGAACAGGGGTTCAATGAAAATCTATCTTGCTGCATTGATATGGACTTAAAGTGTCTTGTGCTCACAACCAATCGGTGGACATGTTACTCCCGGTTTGAGAAAGCCCTGTTGTGGCTTTCATTCAACCAATCAGTAGAAGTGTTATTCCCAGTTTGAGAAAGCCCTCTTGTGGCTTTCTTTCAACCAATCAGTAGATGTGTTACTCCCAGTTTGAGAAAACCCTGTTGTGGCTTTCATTCAGCCAATCAGTAGATGCGTTATTCCCAGTTTGAGAAAGCGCTCTTGTGGCTTTCTTTCAACCAATCAGTAGATGTGTTACTCCCATTTTGAGAAAGCCTTCTTGTGGCTTTCTTTCAACCAATCAGTAGATGTGTTACTCCCAGTTTGAGAAAGCCCTGTTGTGGCTTTCATTCAACCAATCAGTAGATGTGTTACAGGTTACTCCCATTTTGAGAAAGCACTATGGTGGATTTT